GAGGGTCAGGTAGGATGAGTGCCCTTGACCTGTGCCCAGTTGCTGGGTTATGTGCACGCCGAGTCCCCCACTCGGCCCATGGAATGTCTCTCCTTCGAAGAGGCGCCCTCCCTGCGTGCCCTCCCTCACGAACTGCCACGCAAACTGACGCGCCACGCCCTAGCTGATGTGCCACGCCCTGTTTGTCTGTCCTGGTCGCAGCGCCCTGGGGCTGCCTTTAGTGGGAATGGGGGGTGGCAGTCATTACTCTTGGTGCCTCCCACGCCTCGTCAGCCGCCCTTGTGAGAGCTGCTGGCTCCCAGCGGGTCTCTGCGCTCCCCTCTGGGTTCCCTGGCTCAGGAAACCCCCCTGTATGCCACAATCTGCCACTCCACTGCGGGACGTGCCTGCACTGGAGCTGGTTGCCTCTGCACACTTACTTAACGTGCATTCGATTCTTGCGTCCAGATCATTTATAAAAACATTAAAGAGGACTGGCCCTAAAATTGAACCCTGGGGAACCCCACTGGTGAGTGGCCACCAGCCTGATGTAACCCCATTTACTATAACCCTTTGAGCCCAACCCGTCAGGCAATTGTTCACCCAACATATTGGACTTGTCTAGCTGTGTGATGGACATTTTGTCCAGAAGGATACTGTGAGAGACAGTGTCAAAAGCTTTGCTAAAATCCAAAACCACCACATCCACTGGCTTCCCTTGGTCAACTATATGGGTGACCTTGTCATAAAAGGAAAGTTGGTTAAGCAGGACATTACCCTTATGAACTTGTGCTGGCTATGACCAATGACTGTGTTGTCTCTCAAGTGTTTTTCAATACCTCCCAGAATAACCTTCTCCATAATTTTACCAGGCACTGAAGTGAGACTGACAGGCCTGTAATGACCAGGGTCTTCCTTCTTACCCTTCTTGAAAATTTGGGATATTTGCCAGCTTCCAGTTGACTGGGACCTCTCCAAACTTCCAAGACCATTGAAAAATAATGGAGAGAAGTCCCGCAATGACATCGACCAGCTCTTTCAATACATCGGGATGAATCCCATCAGGCCCCATAGATTTATGCACATCCAGCTGGAGCAGCAAGTCTTGAACAAGTTCAGGGTTGGCTGGGAGTTTATCATCCCCCCAGTCACAGTCCTCCAACACAAGGCTCTGGGGGTCCCAGGGCCCATTGTCAGTGTTGAAGACAGAGGTGAAGACGACCTTAAATGTCTTTGCTTTGTCTACGTCCCTATTTGTGAGGTGACCGACCTCATCAAGTAACAAATCAATGTTATTTCTGACCCTTCTTTTGCTGTTAACTTATTTTAAAAAGCCCTTTTTGTTGTCCTTCACAGTGCTGGCCAGCTTGAACTCTGAGTATTTGGCCACACGAATTTTGTCCATACAGTGGCAAACAGCATCTCTGTAGTCCTCAAGGACTACAAGGAAGGACTCAAGGCTGAATGGCACCCACGTTCTTTACCATCTGCATTCCTTCCCACCTCACTGGAAATGATTAGATACATCTTGTAATCTTGTAGATGCACGTTTTCCTTGGAAGATGATCTCTGTTCGGTTTGCCTGTTTGTCTTCTAGTTGGTGCCAAGATAGCATGACTTTTAGGAAACATGGTAGTAGAACTTGCAAGTGTGCCAGGGTACTGGCAGTCTCAGTCAGACACATGTGTGGAGGCATGAAGCTATAGTGTGCACATTTCATGCAGCAGCTGGGGCTTGTGAGCACACCAGCAGCTCCAGGGAACAGCCATGCTCACAGAGGGTGACCACCGCCTTTTGTGGTTATTTACAGGGTACATAGGAATATGCATGTGGCTAGCTATCTGCAGTAGGTGATAACTGTAGATTTCTGGCTAGGTGTACATAGCTATGTAGTGCATGCAGCTAGTTTTGCGCCATAGGATGGTTTGAGGATTTGATTTCAGTCCTTTTCCTCAAGTGCTGTGGACCTTTTAACAAAACTTGGAAAGTCTTGTCTGAAGTCTTGTCTCATTTTAAAAAAGCAACTGTCAAACAGCATAGTCGGGTACTCTGGGAAAGATCTTCACATCTCTGTATTTGGGAGGCTAGTTTTATGTTGTAAGAGACTTAATTCCTTGGCTCAATTGCAATTTCTTTGATATTGATAGTTTTTTAAAGGGTTTTCTCCTTTTTCTGTATGAAGATGTACATACAGGAAGTCTCTTCTTAATATCTAGAATTTGCCTATGCTGAAGATCCTCTCCAAGTCACTCTCATCAAATTTCAGGCAAAGCAAATGTAGGCAGTTGAGGTTTTTAACACCCCTGTTCATGACATGTAAAGCAAGATCATTTGTCCTCTGAGTCTCAAGGCCAAAAATTAAGACACCTCCTCAATCTTGAGTGTCACATGTTTGCAGGGTTGCAATAATCCTAGTAAATGGTTCAACTCCTGGCTGTGCCAGCTTTTCTTGTCCAGCTGCGAGGGACTTGGATGGTCCCTGGCAGTGTAGGTTGGAGAAGGGACTGTGGTACATAGGAAGAGGGTTTTGTTCCATCAGTGCCGGTGGAGTGCCCAGGAGATAGGGACCAGTCATCCTGTTTTTGCCAAGCCTGGTTCCTGGGCCGTCTTCTCAAAGAGCAGGTTCATTCCCAGTCCTGCATTCTTTCTCTGGAAGGACACTCTGGAAATATCCTAGTTGACCTGGTGGTCACTGAAGGGGGGTAGAGTTAACCGTGCTTTACAGGTGCTCCTTCACCATGGGGCTGCGAGGATGCTGACGTAGTTAAGGGCACGGGAGCCTGATGCTGTGTGGGAGGCTGAGTGTGTACAATGAAGATTATTCCTGGCTCGGGTGGAGTGGGTTAGGGAAGAACATCGGGGTTGATTTAAAAATGTTTAATTTTCCATGCTCTGTGTATGCAGTGTATAACATAACTTTAACAAAAACATCTGGCAAAATTATATTTCATTCAGAAACTACATTTACATGTTGCATCTTTTGTCAGACGGAGTGCCTCCAGAATTTCAAATTGGTAGAAGTGCTTATGGGCAGTAAGCAAGGTAAGTGAAGGACCATTGGCCAAAGGCACATCTGTAACTGATCATCTAGCTTTTTGTTTTCCCTTTTACCACAGTCACAGTTAATTTTTTACAATAAATGCCTTCACAAATGAAACTTCACCATCGTGTTGAAATACTTAATCAAAAGTGATGTTGGTTCTTGTGTGTCCTGTGGGAGTATGATTCCCCATAAAGGTTTATTAGCGGTTTCTGGTGGGTATTGACACTTTGGCAAAGAGCCCTGTTTTGGCGAGCTGCCTTTTAACTGACATAATTGTCTTAACTGCAGTTATTTAGTAAAGATTAATTGTAAAGTTCAGTTGTCTCCCTTCCTTCTCTCCTCTTTCCCCCCTGACACTGCCCCCAAACAAGAGCAAATTTGAATCCTGAGATAGTCCAAGGAGATGCCAGTGCATTATGAAGTACAGAAATACACAGTCCGAGCATTGCTCAAGAGGTTTGTGGTCCTGCAGGGGCTGAGCTGGTGTTCTCCAAGTTCACATCCCTTTGTGCTTCATTATTTGTAAGGCTGCATGGAGAGAGAAATAAAGCCACTGAAGTAGTCTGATGATGCCCTGGCCACACCTGAGTAAATATCTTTAGTTCAAATACTGGCCTGATACTTTGCTTTCTTTGCAAGCATTATCAGTAAGTTGTTTTATAAGGTTATTGTAGCCTTGTGAATGTCTTACCTTGGTTGGTTTCTGGTGCTCTGTTTTAAAGCATCATTTACAACCTTGCTTTAGCTGGAAGTTATTACAATTGTTTTAATAAAATACAGAAGTTTGTTATTACTGTAGTTGTCAGGGAATGTAGTTTTAAAGTCTTCTGTCAGTTAGCTTGTTACCAAAGTAGTGCTTGTCTTTTGAGTAGCTTCAAGCTGTTTCTGCCTTTTTTTTAAAGGAGGGTGGTGTTTAAGAACTGTAAACAAAATCAGACTGTTCAAAGCACCTATGTGGTTTTTCTGTTAAATAATGAGTAGTCCAGGTCTGCATGGTCCTTTATGTTAGTTGTATGCAGAGTTGTGAATTTTCCCTAAATTTTTTTGGTTGGGGTTTTTTTTGTTTGTTTAATTGAGCCTGATAATAACTTAACAGTGCTTTTAAACACGATTACTGTTCTTGCTGCCTCTAGTTCAGCGCATGGTCTTGGACGATCAGGAACTGATTCTTAACAGACTCAAGGACATAAGAAAGGTAAATCTGAAAAAGAAACATGATCCTCTTTTATAGCAAGTAGGGAGTCCCCTTTTTTTACAGAAAAAGTAAGTAATCAGTTACCTCCCCAGCTGGCTCATCTGTAGAGAAGCTAAGTGCTTGGACTGAAGTTTGTTTCTGTTCATTATATTCTCTAGGCATAAAGGACTGGTTTGCTAAGTTCAGAACTATTTGGGGTTTTGTTTTACGATATCTTTTTGTCAAATGTCATATCATTTATTTTTCTTTATTTTGGTAGACTTCAATACGTCAGATGAATCAAACAAGATTTTACATTGTGGAAAACAGTAAATCCATTGTACGAGTAAATTTATTTGTTGGTGGCCTTCCACCTCAGCTTTCCTCTGAAGAATACACAAATATTCTCAAGGATGAATTAGCTATCAAAAGTAAGTAAACAGGTGCATTTTGAGAGATATTCACTTGTACAGAATAAAATGTAGTAGCATTTATTGTTCCTTTTTATTATTTTTTTTCTTTTTCTGACCTTACTTGAAAAATCAGTCTGCCTTGTACTCTAACAGGGGGCTTTTTTTATTCATTTTAACATGTTCATGGTTGCATGAGAGATGTGACAGCTCATTATTCACAGAATTATTATTACATTACTTATGTGTGACCACACCTTTTTTTTTTGTGAAAAAGCATCACTTTTTAGAATTGAACCGTACATACCTTACACCATTCAAATTATGATAGTGCAGTTTAATTCCCTGTGCATCAATGTTCCTTGCCTTTATTAACCTCTGGCGTTTTTTGCGCGGGCTGTCCTCCACGTTGTTCGTGAGCTCTGTGCCTGGAGCTGGTCTTCCAGCTGACCAGCCTTCTCTGGTCATGGAGAAGTATGAGCTCTGTGTGCACCCACATATGGACAAGCACTCAGTGAAAAGAACTTATTTTTCTTTTTCAAAGAAGTGTAATTGATTTTTCATAATACTCTTTCAACCAACGTGTTCTATAAACAATGTCAGGAATGGGTCATGCTTTTTGTTTCAGGAAATGAAGCATTTTTCCCAATTTTTAATGTAAGTTCAAGAGGAATGAAACTTTAAATGCCAGAAAGAATTCATAGTCACCTTTTATGAAAATTAGTTTAGCTTTTCTAACTTGCAAAGTAAACTTAGGAGAGGGAAAGTATTAGCTGGAGGTTCTCCCTATATTTGTATAACTTTTAATATTTATTTATATTATATTTATGTAACTTTAAAAAATATTTTAAATATTTACTCTAAATGTACCCAAGGTTTTATGTGTTTATATTTTTACCCTTTGCAGCAAATGTAGTATCTGTGAGTCATGTTTATCAAGCACAAGGTAAGCATTAAGATTTTTAGTCTTGCAAACAATGTCTATTTTCAAAACTGCAGCCTAATACTAGAGTCTCTAAGCTCAGAGTATGTTAGTCTTACTGCATAAGCAAAAAGCCCTTCAGATAAAATGTAACACGTATTTATGACGAGCAGTGGATTAGTGTCACCTTATTAAAAAAAAAAAAATTAAAAGGTTGGCTTCATGCCTCGTGTACCAGAAAGTGGTACTATTTCATCATAAAAATGGGTTTTGAAGTTGCCCTTCAACTGAATAGTCTTAACACCACTGAGCTGTTAAAAACCCTCCAAGTGCTCTCTCTTCTATTTTGACTTCTACAATACTAAAATTTGGTACTGCTTTTGAACTTGATGGGATTGTTTCACAGTCACTGTTTCTTAGCTCAGTGTCAAGTGGGGGTTCAGTGGCTGGAAGTCTGAAGAAAATCAGTACGCTCATCTCTGCATTCATCCTTTGAGCTGCTGCTTTGCTTTTGTTGTACGAATTTTATTTCAGCGAGGTCAGAGAAGCCGTGAGGCTTCTGAGAGCTGGAGCAGCAGTGGCTCTGAGCAGCTTTAGTGCAGTGGTCAGGTGGGGATCTGCGTTTGATAAAAGTGTGGAATTTATCTTTTGTATGTTTAGGTGCCCATGTCCAAGATGTTTCACATCCTTTGGCAAGCTTAACTTTCACATAACCACTAAATGAATCTTTCTATAGTGTGGTTTTGAAGACTGATGCGTGCTTCCTTTGTGCATTTGCTGTCTCCACATGGCTAGTTAATACTGACTTTTCATAAGGAAAACTATAAAGCTTTCAGATGTGCCTTCTCCTTTTCATATTTGTCAATGGAGAATAGTTGTTTTTGTGATACTCTTCTCATGTCACAGCTTCATTTAACCAAGTCTACCTGCATGTGTTTTTTAGATGTTTCTGCTTGTGATTTTTAATGTTCTTTGTGGTTTTTTACTTTGAGGGGGTTTTTTTTGTTGTTTCTGGTAACTTCCTGGCTCTCACTTTTGGTTGCAGCCAGGTTGTGTTACCAGCTTACATCTCATATGCTGTCTGTTATGCACTTTGATCTTGTCCTGCCCTGTTTTCCTCCTCACTAAGTATCTTACTTCAAACTAACTTGTCAGTATTTTATTTTCTTTTGTTTTTCCTTTTGTCTTCCCTTTTTCCCCAACTTCCCCGTACAGGACCTAAGCCGACATAAAGATCTTAAATTGATTCTCAAACCAAATCTTTGCTTGTAATAGTTCTTGCTGAGATATTGTCAACGAATGGAACTACTGGATTTTTTAATAATGAGATACAAAATGAAACCTGATACCTTTGTCACTTTTACATGATGAGAACAGCCTGTTAGTTATGATAAAGAGTATGGAAATAGGCCATACTTCTGAAGCCCAAAGGAAGTCTTTAAATATGCATCAGTTCTGTGCTGCAGTTCTTTTTGTCCTCAAACTGCTTTGCTTTAACAAAAATCTGGGGTGTGTTTGGGGGTATGAAGGAAGGCTTAAAAACCAAAAGAGCCCAATTCGCTGATACACTCTGCACACCACAAGTGTTGCAGAGTAACTTTTACTGAATAATGTCCTGAGTAAACTGAGTAAATTTTTGCTGTGATATGTTGATACTGATTTCCTAATAATAGTAGAAAATATGAAAAATAGTTCTGATGCCTCTTTACAGGTGCTGTTGTACTCGAAATTTCATGCTTTTCTGAAGCTGAAAGAATATATATGCTAGTTAAAGATACAACTGTCAATGACAAGCCTCTGAATGCCGTGGTGATTCCTGAAGTTATGGTAAGAGAAGGGTTTGAATTTAAAATATGCCCTTAAAAGAAAAACAACTACCTTAAGACTTTTTCTGCTGGAAGTAAATGAAAATATATTTTATTCAAAGGAGCTATACAGTGAGTTTCTGTAAGTAGTGTGATTAAAAAAAATACTTGAGAGCTTGTACTTCATGTATATGATATACTTCTGTGAGTTAAGTCACTTGCCCTGTTACTGTTGACTTGTCAGGAATAACTATACAACTATACAACTGCATAACTATACAACTATAAAGGGGAGAAAAGCAAATTTTTTTTTTCCTCTTTATTTCTTTCAATGATCAAAAAGTTAGGTGGGGTTTTAGTTTTAGCTGGCCTGTCTTAAAATGCTTACAACTTTTTTTTGGGCACTAAATGTGTTTCCTTGCTAACGATGAAGTGAAGTACTACTGCTAATCTTCACATTTATAGTATCTTCATTTCCCCCATTCTGTAGCAGAGGGAGTTTGACCTTGTTTAAATGCTGTATTGTGGATTTCAGAGGAAAACAGTCTTTTGAAAGAGTCGTTTCACAAATTCAGGGTCAATTCTGATTTATTAATTTTTATGGTTACAAATCACTTTCCTATGAATCAGTTGGTTTAATAATAGGTTCCACATTAACAAAGCAGATTCAGGGTGAAAAGAGGGAAACGGTTTACAGAGCAAAGTGATTTTTAACCAGGATGATGTAGGTTCTGTCCAAAAGAGAGTGTAGCCATAGCTACTTTCTGCTGAGCTGTTGTGTCTCTTGCAGTGACTGTCTTTCTGGAGTTGCATTATGGCCAGGAAAGTGAGGGTCTTGGTTTGACTTCTTAGAACTTCACAGAAGGTTGAAAATTTAAAAAAATACTTAATTAGTGGGAGCTATGAACCAACTTTAAATGGGAGGGTCTCAAGTTCAATAGCCATAGTTGCATACATACCTGCCTGCTTTTACCATTTAAAGAGTCCTATGCCTGTCTGTTTTCTGAAGGAAAATTATTTTTTTATATAAGCAGATACTAGTGGCAGTGCTTAATGAAACTGGCAAGATTAGAAACTATCCCCCCTCCAAAAAAAGTGAGAGCCTTGTTCTTATGCATGCATAGGACACAAAACATTTTGTTTTGTGAGATCCTTAGAAACCAACGTCCCCTCTCATGCAAACTAGGTTTCAGAGTTACTGTTATCGGAAACAGAAGGCAGCATGAAGGTGGGACTGCTTTTGGATGCTTGTTTTCAGTGGTTTTCAGGCAAATGCATTATGAGCCTAGGTTTGGTGCACAGTGTGTGAAGTTGAACATACTCCACTCTGTTGATTACGTGTGTCTGGTTTTCTGACACTAGATATGTTTGAAGTGAACTTCTTGATGCCAGGAAAATATAGATAATGCTATCTGGTATCTGATGCAAGATATTTTTTAGAAACTCCAGTTCAGGGGACTGCCAGGGATTAATTTCTAATGTGTAAGAAGGAGAGAGGGGTTGTACATGTGCACATACATTTTGTTTCCATTTCAGCATGTATTGTTTACTTTTGGTTGTCTCACTGAAATGAGCCAAGAGTTAATCTAAATAATATTTCAAGTGTTGTGCATATGTGCTTTGGCCACCCAGCTTACGCCATTCACTAATTACCCAGGATAAACTAATGAGTGATTGTTGGACCCTACTGTGGGTAGCAGTTGGACTAGATGATCTCCTGAGGTACTTTCCAACCTAGATTATCCTTTTATCCTGTGATACTATTAGACTTTGTTTATACTTTATAGATGTGACCATTTAAATACAGCACCAGGAAATACTTATACAGGAACTGAGCACAATATTAAATTTATGCTGTGTTTGATGTTCCTCTTGCAGGTGAAATACAAAGAAATTGGGAATGAAGGGCTAATGTGTAGTCTTAGAAGAAGAATGGGTGATAAAACAAAGGCCACAGTGTTTTGGTTAATGAATGATTTTTCCAAGTTGCAACTTAAACAAACAAAACAACCCTTCTTAAAAGTCAATAAAAGCACAGAAGTAAATTGGTGGTTAGCAGGTTGCTAGTCCTTCATTTTCCTGAGGGTGAGATTTGCTTACTCTGTATCTGATACACCTTCTAAGGAGGAGGCGCAGTTCTAGTCTGGCATGGTCAGGTTTGCCAGAAGGAATTCATCCTCTTATTATCATTACTGAAAAGTTTGAATGCAGAATTAGTTTGCACTAACGCTTATTAGAAAGTCAAGCAATTAGTGTGATCAGATGTGTTGATCTGTTCTGCTGTTTCATGATCTCAGGCCTTTAAGAATTGAATTAAACACTTTTTCATTTCACGATATTCAAATAAATGAAAATACTCTCTTCATTGGAGTGTGAAAAAAATACAGTCTCTTACAAAGCTGCTTGGCTGCTGTGTGTAAGGACCTGAAGGGGCAGTTTGGTATCGCTCTTTGGTAGCATGTCAAGGTGAAAGACATTGCAGGGCTGAATCTTTGAATAGAAAGCTAATTTACCAGAACTCCTTTTGCAGTACTGGCAAACAAGGAAATCATCAGAGAGTTGTATGAGACCAATAAATGAAGGTGACAAGTTTTTGTGGCATTATCACTAATGCCACTTACCAGTGGAGTGCCCTCTGACGTGTATTTAGGTTCCTTAAGAGTAGTAGAAAAAGATGTGGGAGTTTCCCAAATGGGTGAAACTCTTCATTTCATTCATTCGACTAATTTCTCACACAAATGTGTCCAACTTAAGAGTATGCTAGTTTAATGACCTTCCTAGCCAAAACACTGTGAAAGGTTACTTTCCACCCTTCTTCAGCTGCTGCAATTCCCCAAAAAGTAAAGAAAAGGCTCGAGCTGCTGTGTTGACCAAGCTGCTACTCCAGTTACATTGAGACACCTTGCACATCATTCCTCATCAGATGCAATGACTCCTTTCTGGGCAGGGTGGAGGAAGTTTGTGCGTGGGGCGTCATGAGTCCTTGCGCATGGGAGATGCTGCAGACAGCCTGCTTGCAAATGTTGAATTTTACTTGCCACTAATAGATGTATGCAGTTCCTGGAGACAGCCCACCACCCTGGAAGATGCGCTGAGGTTGTTGTGCTGGCAGGCCTGTGGCACAGAACGCCTTGTTGTGCTTCACCGTGAGATGTGATAACACAGTACACTCAAGAGAAGGGGATTAGCGTGGATAATAAATATCTTGCCCCAGCCTGAAGCTGCGTTGTGCTAATCCTGTCAAATTAAGCAAGTCATAGTGACTGTCAGTGTCTAAATCACACGGCCTCCTTCAGCTGTCTCTAAGAAACGAGCAATAAATTCCTTCCTGAACGCCAGCCAACACAAAACCCCTCTGCAGATTTCACTCCTCAAGCAGAGCACTGAAGCCAGGGCTAAAGGGGGAAGGGAGTCCTTAGGCTGTGAGTCACACATCCCATTCTGCCCAGTAACAAACTAATTCGTACGTCCCCACTGGGGCTTTATTAAGGGATCAAAAAAAACCTCTGCAGCATAAGAGTGCTACCCTTGTGGCCATAATTATAACGGAGCATGTACTTTTCAGAAAGCAATACAGCAGCCCTGCTTTCCTGTACAAACTGTCATAGAGTTTTTAACCCCTACTGAAAAATAATTGTTTTCTTAGAAGCGGGACTTTATCTAGGGATTTAGCAGTGTTTCTTACCCTATAAGTTTAATGAAGAGTGATGATGGGAAGCGAGTTAACTGTAAGGCTAAGCACTTTCTAGAATACTTCTGTTTATTCTACATAGGTGTGTTTAGTCCTAAATAGGTACAGTTAGGGATTTACATTAGAAGATACTTGAACAAAGATGGCTTTGAGTGGTAGGACTGCTCAGTTTACACTACATACAGATATTTTGTTAGCTCCAGGCATTCTCCCGCAGCTGCTTGTGAGTCTTAGTAGCATTCAGGGTAAATGTTTCACCTTTTTTTTTTTTGTACAATATTGACACTTGACAATTAGCAAATTTAGATGGCAGTTTCGTAGAAACTGTAAGTATGTATTTGCCACAATATATATTTACTTGAGTAAGATCTCAGATGACTTTCCAAAACACAGCTGTGCTTTTGAATGCCTTGGAGCTTATCACGTCTCAAAAATCATTGCGATTCCCTCAAGTTCCTTGTGAATTATTTTAGTTACTTGCTTTTAAACCCAGTGTGTTAGAACTTGCCTATAAAGGCAAGTAATATAAAACATGTGTTCAATATGTCACTTCCAAATGTCCAAAACCAGTATTTTTAGAAACTGGTTTCCTGAAGAACAGAAGGTAATCAAATGTTCTTGTCCACATTCAAGTAAGGTATTTGTTTGACTTGAATGTTGGGCTGGTTTCCTCTCTCTCATTCTTTTTTGAAAAAGTTCTTGTTTACTTTGAGCTGCAGAACTGAATTTTTTTTTTTTCTATTATCCCCTTACCCCTCTTTTTTTAAACCCTACAAGTTTCCAGGCATAGGACCAAGCCTGAGGTTTCAGATAGCCTGTATTGTTCAGAAAGTTGAAATGACCGGAGATGGAATTTAGGTAGTGAAAAAGCTTTAAAGAGGAAGAAATGGGAAGTGGTCAGGTGGGAAGGCTGGGCAGAGTAGAAGCTGGAACAAGGAGTGCAGGAAGGGAACAGTTTGCCCTGTTACCCCATGGGACGTGACGTTTCCTTTCAGAGCTGCTCTGCCTTTTGTTGCTTGTGGGATTTTTAAAGGACCATTCATAATGGGGTATGGCAGGAACTGATGGAGTAATAAGAAGAGCTTTACTTCTGGAAAAGCCAGAGCTCTGCTTACTATTTTTATTAATGCCTGTGATGGCTCAAGGGGAGGAAATCCAATTCTCTCGTTGGGATGTGTGGGTCCTTGAGCTGTTGACCTTACAACTCAAGAAGTCCTTCCTTTTTGTGACAGTGGCGTGCATTGTTTTCCTTAGGCTTCCTTTGCTGGCTACAAATATCCTTTCCATGTGCTTAACAGAAATAAAGACATTACCCTTGTTGTATGTTGGGCACGCTTTGAATAATTGCTTCCCCTTTTCCAATAAAGCCTGAGTATGGAGGAGAGGTATTTTGACCTAGCAGTCATCACAGTATAGCATGAAGGTGGTTCCTCTGGAGAAAGCTGTGTGGACAGCTTTGCAGCCTCTGTCTCTCCAACCTAGTTGTTTTGCCAGCAGTGAAACCTTCCCAGTAAAACAAAATTTTGGGGCTGTTCTGGCTCTTTGTCAGCCAAAATAGCCCTTTTTTGGCTTTTTTTTTTTTTTTTGAGAAAACATACGTATTTTCAAACTGAATGTCTCTGGTAGAATCTAAAGGATGAAGAAGGAAGGGGCAAGAGGAGAAGCGCGTGCCTGCTCCACCAACCTTCTCACCTGCTTAGTGTTCCTCTTCCTGGTGTGTTTTCTGTTTGTGTCTGCGAGTCACGCTGGATGGCAGAGGACATTCTCATTCAGGCAGTGACACAGAGGAGAAGGATTTTTATGTGTTTGCAGGTATCTTGACACAGCTGGCAGGATGTGACTCACAGAGGATTAGCACCCAGCTCTTTTAGGAAAGCAAAAATTGAGGAAATCTCTCAAATACTGGGAAACCCCAAACAATTGTTTGTTTTTAAGCGTCCAGATAGCTCACAGGTAGACGATGGTCTGGGGTATCTCAACATCAGGCTCCAGTTTGTTTCCCCACAAAGTTACTCATTAATTTGTCCTGATTTCTCCATTCTTCACCTTAGTTCACGCTCTCTGGTGGTCGCTCATAGACAGCAGCTGACAGGCTCTCTGGGTGCTGTCTCCTCCCCTCTGTAGCTGTTGGTATCTCTCCGCATGTTTGCACGCTGTGGTCATGCTGCTGCCTCACCACCCCCTGAATCATTCTTGTCTCAATTGACTTATATTTAGCACTGTTGTTCTGTTCCCTGAATCCATCCTGTCAGCTGCGTGACAAATTGCTGTTCCCTGAATGCTGTCCAATTTGTAAATACAAATTACCACAACTTAGGGACTGTGGCAAACATTTCTGTTTTGAAGCGCACTTGTTGAAATGCCCGATGGACTCTTCTGGCGCATACCAGCCCCACAGCCCTGTGGCAGGACAGATGAAAGGTGTACTGGCATTTTGTGATCTTTCTAGAACCATTTACAAATCACTTTATGCAATGATTTATGGGCTGGCTGGCTGAAAACCAGTCCCAAGGGGGTGCTTCTGGTGGCTGGAAGTTTTGACCTCTGGTGAGGCTGCAGGTACCCGTGCAGTTTATGGAGTACTCCAGGAAATCGCTCCTCTACCATGTGCAGTGGCTTCCTTTGGAGTGGTTTCTGGATGGGTACCAGGCTCCCCTGCAGCACAGCCGTGCTTTGAGAGCCCTTTCAGCAGCAGCTTCAGTAGAGGTGTGAGAATCGTAAGATACTGGCACCAAATCCTCCTGATTAAAAATTTTAAATACATATTTTTAAAAGACGCTTTCAGCCTCTTATTTCATGGGGAGGGGCATGCCAGTATCTGCCCTGAACACCCTTGTTTTGAAATGTTTTGTCCTTGTAAATTAACATGTATTCTGAGATGACCACAAAACTTAAGATAAATGTTTCAGTTGTTTTTGGGAGAAGTTCTCTCTTTGCAAGGAAAGTGTTTGAATTGTACATGACTCTGGAAGGTACCTTATCCCTCACACTATTCTTTGGCATAGACTGTTTACTGAAGTTGTGTAGGAAGGACTACTTACAGTGCCTTTGTTTTTAACATTATGCTCAACTGCGTAGTTGGAGCAGGTTAAGGAAACTTCAGTTCCCAGAAAAATAAGATCAGCAGCTAACCTGTCCATTGTCTGGACATTGAATCATTTTATTTATGGAATCTGGATTTTTTTTACTAAGCATCAAGGAAGCATCAGGAAATACTTCTGAGATGCAGTAGTAATTTTCCTGCCTAGTCATGGTTTTAGCTAATCCTTTTTCTTGTCTTCTTTCAGGCTTCCAAGATACCACAGAACTGCTGCCCGCTTCTTGTGTTTGTGAATCCAAAAAGTGGTGGTCTAAAAGGCCGGGATCTGCTGTACAGTTTTAGAAAGCTGCTAAACCCACATCAGGTCTTTGAACTTACCAATGGTGGCCCGCTGCCTGGGTAAGTGATCGTATTTTTTAATTTTTTTATTTATGTTGTTTTGTTATTTTTTGAAAGGATGGATCAGATTCAGTTGTTACGAAGATATAAATTACTTCTGTTCTGTGCCTGAAGACCAGAGCAGTGGATCGCTCCTTCTGACTGTGAAAACAGATTTAAACTTTGAGGTTCTCTAAAGAAAAGAGAATAGAGTAGTTCCTGATGTGTCAAGTCTAATAGAGTCCAGTCCTGGGAAAGTCGTATGCACTTTACAATAACACAGATTTAATAATTATTAAAAGTAAAAAGATTTTATAATCGAATGGGGATGGAAAGCGAAATGTCACGTTGCCCGACGAGGGCTTGTTTTTGCTTTTATTTCCTCTGATGTTTCAGGGGAACTAACGGGAAAGTATAATAAAATTTTCTATCTTGACTCTTGAAACGTAGCCACAATTGTGGAATTAACAGGGCCTGCCTGATCACAGCTGCAACATTTCTAAATACAAGGAACAGAACATAATGTGCTTGTAGGGAGGCAGGAACCAATTACTTGATTTAATCAACACCACTTGGTTACCAGCTTCATAAAACTGAAAGTGATGATTGTAGCTTACTCAGAGTAGCCTCATTCCTTCAGCACTGCTTTAACAAAGAATTGTCATGACAAGCTCTTCAGAACAAAAGCTTTCATGGGAGAAACGCAGCTTATGCAGGAGGCAAGAAGAATAAGCTGCACAAAGTTTTTTGTCAGAACTGTATAATTCTGTTGTCTTTCTAATGCAGTTCAAGCTGCAACTTCAGTCATTTGTTCATTTTGTTTTGCCCATGGAATCCTTCTGTAGCTTTGTGGCAAAATGCTTCCACTTGTTCATTGCTTCTTGTGCAACGGGAAATAAAAATTCCTTTGCAGGATATCTCAGTATGTAGGATGAAAAGCCACAGAAGGTAAGAGCAACCAGGAAAATAGTACTATGAAGAAGAAAATGTACTATGAGTCCTATAACTAAGTAAAAAAAAAAAACAAACCCAAAAACCACCATTAATCAACATCTCCACTAGGATTTAGAAAGTTACAGATGTTCATACTGAAATTATGAATAGTGAGATCTCTGTGTCTTTAGTGAAAAAAGACGTGATTAACAATTTAACTCTAGCTGTGGAGAATCTTAGAAGAATGTGGGTTTCACTCTTTTTAAAAAGCTTTATCTAAAAGTTCCTATTTTTCCATTCACTTTGAAGTTGATCCTGAAACTGATGGTAAAGGAGGGGGGAATCCAATAATAATGTGTTCTCTTAAATAGCGTATTAAGAGGGTTTGCTTTTCCTGTACTACATTGTAACATTTCTTTTCCCCTTTGCTTTGTTTCTCAACGGAGGTTTCACACATTCTCTAAAGTCCCCTCCTTCCGAGTGCTGGTGTGCGGAGGGGATGGCACCGTCGGTTGGGTCCTTGGTGCACTGGAGGAGATCAGGCACAAGCTGGTGTGCTCAGAGCCCTCGGTTGCCATCTTACCTTTAGGAACAGGTGAGAATCACAGTGAGCACTGTTCTTCTGAGGGCAGATGTCCTCCAGAAGGTTTATTTGTATTTATCCATCTGACAAACAACTCAGTTTTGCAGTAGAGATGCCATGACTCAGTTCTGGCCAGTGTTAGAGAGCAAATGCAATACCAGCTTTTCAAGGAAGTCTCAGTCATGCTTTCTGAAGGAAAAATGGGCAGCAGGGGTGTTGGCATGGGTGTGTCTGAGTGGGCAGGAGTTGGAGAGGGCAAAATATGCTCCTCTGGACAACCACAGGTGCTTCAGCCCTTGCTGTAAACCAGTGAACTCAGCTGCTCCCTGACTTCTCAACTCCATGGCAGGTTTTTCTACCACTTTTTGTGAAAACTTTTCAGATAAGACAGCGTGTCTGTATGTGATACTAAGCACACATGCAACCACAACAACACTTAGATATTTTTTCTGCTTGTTAACTTTTCAGTCCAATCTAGCTGCTTCTGTGACTTGTTTGGAGCACCTTGATGCGATTTGATTTGTAGAACAGGGCTGATGCACTTTTTGATGCTTTTAGCTAACTTATGAAATGCTGTCATATTTTGGGGTTCTTCATTGTTGCCCAGGTAATGACTTAGGGAGGGTCTTGCGCTGGGGAGCTGGCTACAGTGGGGAGGACCCCTACTCGATTTTGGTTTCCGTGGATGAGGCAGATGACGTTCTTATGGATCGCTGGACGATCCTTTTGGATGCAGAAGAGCCAGCTGAAGGTGCAGAGAATGGTGTTGCAGAACCTGAGCCTCCAAAGGTGAGCTGAGCACTGTTTGGGTTCAATTCTTAGGAACTGTTGTTCTAGCGAAAATCACAAAGAATATAAATATTAACATAGTTTCATCTTTTATTCCTTACTATCTTTGAGCTTGGGCCTTACTGAACTATTCCTTAGTGAACACAGCATACATCTGGATCTAGTGCTTCAGTTTTGGTAGGACTGATTGGCTGCAGCACGAACTTCGTAGCTGTTTGGCAAAAAGTATCTGATAGAGGATTAATGAAAAGATTCAAGTGACAATGGCATATCTATTTGCTTCAGCTGGAAAGAAATTTATTTCTCAAATAAGAAGAGCTTTTTGAAGGAATGCCAAACACTTTCTAGAACACTAGTGAAACTGACCAAAAACCAACCCCCCTCCAAAAAAAGTACTCTCATCTTTCCTTTAACAGTTTAAAAAATGACTGTGAGTTGCTAGCATATACAGGAAGCAAATCCTTCTGTCATCTTACTGCCACTGTGGGTCTGTATGTGTGGCATCTGTTTTATTATTTTTTTGGAATGAAAGTCCCTGTCCCTTGGTTCGTATTACTTGTTTCTGTTTAGGAAAATAAAAAGGTTGGTTGTAGATGGTGACTTCAGAGCTTTGTGTGAGTCCTGGTTGTTTATCTTCAGACAAAACAAAGAAATTGGACAAGGAGGTGGCAAGAAGAAAGTAGGAAATTGTAATAATGGTAGCAATTGTCTAAGATTTTAGTCCAGTTGCTGGAAAATCCTAGGTGTTATGTTTCAATTGGAGGATTCAGGTTGCTCAGGTTCCAGCTATTTTTCACTTGACGGAGACAGGGGTTGATTTGCCCTGATGGCCTACTCTGCTTTTTAAAGGTGAAGTATGGGAGAGTCAAGGACTAGGATAGAAAAGCTATGGAATGAACTGGCATGCAAAGGAAGAATTAAATGCAGAAATGATTGAAATCTGTAGAAACTTGAGATTGGCATGTAGGGAGCTATTTAAAATGCAGCTGAGTAGGTGAAGTCAAATTCTTCACTCATCTGGAGTAAGCTGGTCACCTTCCAAAGTAAGGAGGAGTGTCTTCCCAACGGTGTTTGGCTGATGCCAAAAATAATAGTTCAGCAACTTGTGTCGTTATTGCATAGAATTGCTTTGAGAAGTTGGGTTGGTTTTATTCCTGCATTTGTTTTTATTTCTGCCTTATTAAGCTTGTTACTTGCAATTAAGATTAAATTTTGAAGTTTCTGATACTTTGGAAATAATGACTATACATGTCAACAGTTGTCCATACAGCTTTATTTTTAGTGCAGTGTTTCTGGAAAATGTTTTCCAGAGTCTGTCAAGTTGCAAGTGACTTGGAAGGATCATCTGCAAAATTTGCTTTTGTTGAAAAACTTTGGAACCTCTTCATTTATAAACATAAGGAGAAAATAATTTTTTTTTTTTTTGTCAGATTGTACAGATGAACAATTACTGTGGTCTTGGCATTGATGCAGAGTTGAGCTTGGATTTTCATCATGCTAGAGAAGAAGAACCAGGGAAATTTAATAGCAGGTAATCCTGGGGAGATGGGGGTGAAGGGCAAACTCTGGTATTGCGTAACTTCCAACTTACAGTATGGCTGATAATCCTGAAATGCTACAGGTATCCACAAACAATATTGCTTGAGGTACAGCTGACACAGGGAGGAATTAAGTTAGCCAGGAACTCATAGACTCAGAATTCAAGGGTTTTGTATGGGTTTTGGTTTGGTTTTTTTTTTCTTTTTTATCCCTTTACCAAGAGAGAGCACCGAAGCAGCTTTTGGAAGCCCTGTCATTAATATTCAGTATACTTATTTGCCAGTAACTGCAATGTTGAGTTCAGTGAAATTTTGAGGTAGTGGAAATATCTCTTATTCAAAGTCTTTAGCAGGAGGGAGGGCAGTGCTGCTATGTGAGCAATAAACACACTGTTCAGAACTTCTTTGTACCTTTCCCACCCTTGCTTAGTGCTGTGGTAGCACCTGTGTGCTGGTAATAAGGATTAAAAAAGGTATCTCTGTCTCAAGTGAGACTGGGTGATTAAAAAGATGTAGAGAGAGACCTTCCTCCTTTCTGGCATGCAGATCAATCAAAATAGTACTCTTTCGTCTTCCCATAATCACTGAAATTGATGAGAAAAGGAAATCACGTAGGTGTAATTAATCAGTAATTCCTTGTAGAAACTGTTTTTGTCTGCTTTCTCCTATGTTTGTGAGTAAAAGTCCTCTAAATTGTCTTTCAGTTACCAGAGAGAGTTACAGCCAGTTACAACTATGCAGTATTCAAATCCTAACTATTAAAAATATTCTCTGACCGGTTATGAGTGTAATGATGTGTAATCCCACCTATCTTGCAGTGTTCTATCTACCATTACAGGCATTGCTCATGTTTTTCCTCTTAAGAATGGAATAATACAGGATATTGTTTGTGGTACATAAGTTACTATTAGGCACTGGTTTGCATTTTCAATCCACTGGGTTAAAAACATCATAGGTAGTAAAATTGGGCAATAAGTTTGTTAATAGCGGTGCCTGTTCTCATGTATAAAAACTGTTGTAGATTTACTTGTGCAATTAATATAACGTAAGAGTTATGTTCATTCTTCCTTTAAAAAATACTACTCTGACTTTGCAAAGCTACAGCACTTTAAAAGATTTGTCCTTTTCTTATTGCCACTGTATTTAAGGGTTATACTTTGACTTTTATTGCCCTGTGTGCCTTTCATCCCTTGAATCTTTATCTCAGGTAGTTCACAGTGTGCAGCACCTGCAGTGGGCAATGACTTCGTACCATTCTTGCAGACCTTTTACACCCGTATTTGGACGCCGTGCAAGCAAGGTGTCTTGAAGGGTGTGTGGGAAAGAAAAGATGATTTTTTTTTTTTTTTTTTTTTTGTAAATCTGAACGGCTATATATTTCTGTGATGCAAGATCTGGAAAAGAAACATGAAATAATGAATTGATGCTGAGGTACGGTTTTGCAGGAGACAAACAGCTTGTGCAGGCTAACACATGGTCGTTGCCTTTCACTACCTGTGATGATGATTGTTAAAATTGCTGGCTTTACCCTTTCCCAGGATATGCAAGTGCATGCTTTTGCCAGCAAGATTAGCATTTTTTAAAAATTATTTTCAGTAAATTAACTAAGAAGGGTGGCTACTTAATGTCAGATGCAACAGCTGCTGGCACGTGAACTGGCTGCTCTTGAGTGCAGAACAGGAAGTTTCAGGTTGTGGCAACAGAAATTGCAGGTAGTCCTTGGAAGAAAAATGGGCTTGAGTGCTCTTCTGAATCAAGACCTTAAGCTGGTAAATGTCCTGAAAGCTGTGTGCTCTCTGGCCTCACACTGTAGAGTCTCTTCACACGCTCAGGACTCCTTACTAGCAGCGCACAGTACAGTGATGACTTCCCTGCAGGGAATTTAGTGCTGAACTTGCATTGCAGGGCAGTACAAATAGTGTATGTTGTGGCAATGATGGTTTATACGTTGTTGAGTGCCAAGTCATGTGAGGTTTTTTCACAATATAAAACTTAAGGATCAGGGCATCTGTCTTCATTCCCCCATTCCCATGGGATCCTGGAGCAGTCTTTAGGGTTGCCTATTACAGAAGAGAGCACATCTTGTTTGTGCCATCCAAAATTGGCAGGAGACTGCTGTGGCAGGCAGTCTCCTGGATGTAAGGTTAGGCAGAGAAAATATTCTGCATGATTTAATGCAGGTTTACAATTGTTTTACAAAGATACAGAACTGTTCTCTCTCGGTAGGGGGAAGGTTTGAAATTATTGGTTGTTTGATTTGTCGGTTGTGGGTTTTAAAATTCTACAATGGCTACTGTCTTAACTCATTTTTTTTCCATCGTGGGTCCTCTGTATGTGAACCTGGTAAAGTTCTTTCCCGGTCAGTAAGATCACCGTAATGAAAGCACTCAAGCAGATGCTAATTCTTGGTCAGCGCTCTTAGCTTTTGCAGTGGTGGTTTCCCACCCAGTGGTGGGCTTGTTGAATTGCAGGACTAGATAAAAGGCGGTCATTTTGTTTTGCTTTCCGTGCTGTGTGCTGCAGTTCTGAGAGGTTTGCTTCTGAGAGATGTTACCTGGCTGTTTATTAGTGCTCATGAGAAACTGCAGTTCATTTAGAAAGGCCTGGCACACAGATTTGTTATCCATCACCTTTAAAAAAGAGTTCCCCAAACCTACCCTTCTGGGTGTCCAACAGTTGGCAAGAGCTCTGAAAAGTCTGGCTTTCTGCATCAGCTCACTTCGTTTCTTTGTGACTCTTGAGGACTGGCTTCTTTATTTTGTTTTCATGAAAGCTTGGAAGGCGGTTACTGATGGTCTTGCTTCCTCTGGCTACCAGAGGTGCTTGCTGCTTGGGCAACAACCACAGAGATGATTAAACTAACAGAGTAAGTTGATGCTATGGTGTCTCCCTGAGGCTATGGAGACTTGTCCATGGGACTTTTAAGAGTAAAGGGTGTTTCTCAATTTGCTCTATCAAGGATAGATAAAGGAGTGCAATACTTAAAAACCACTTGTTTACTTTCATAATCCATGAAACTGGTCCTATATAGGATCACCTTTTAACTTGATCTATTCTGAGATAATCAATTAGCTAAACTGAAGAATCAGTCCAACCTTCTGAATGTCCCTCAGGAAGGGTGTATGTAGCTTTATGGGTGTAGCCAGTGGGGCATCAGGTAGTATGTGAACGTTGGCTATACTTGTAGTTGCATCTTTTGTAGAAAAACAAACTAAAGGGTGATTCCTGAGCTGGGTGGGTCAAATCCCCAAACTCATCTGAGCAGTGGGATATTACTTCCATATCTGTACTCTAGAGAGCCTTCCAAATAGTTCTGGGATGACGTAATGTTGCAGCCGAGCTGATGCAAGGACTCACTGGCACCATGGGGATGGATGAGCTGAATGTAATGCCCTGCCCTCCTCTCTCATCCCCATCAGTGTCATTTACAGCAGTGACTGCAACATGGAAATCAAGGTTTGTATTAGGTGAGACCCTTCAGCACAAATAAAGTGTTGGAGACTGTTCCAAGGACAACTTCCTCCTTCCTGCCTTGCTGATCAACTGTGGTGAAACTACTGTCTGCAAAATGTGTCTAACCAAGGGTTTGCTCTAGGAGATGCTTACTCTTTCTACCCAAGTGGGCAAGCTAGTATGTTACTGGCTACTGCTAGCAGTAGACTGACAACTTCCACTGGCACTTTCTCCCCAAATCATGTCCCACATGTAGATGTGCAGTGAAGGGTGGTGATTCTCTCTAGCGGTGGATGTGCAAAGATCACCCTTCCAAGCTTGGCTGGCCACTTTAATCAGAAAATCTTTCAGTCACCTTCAAAACCATTGGGTCGGAGTTGGCATGGTAACGTTACAGAAATCAGTTTGTTTGTTCTTATTTGGTCTCAATGTCCTAATAAGATACATAAATGGAATGGAAAGAATGGAGTGATAGGATGTAATCTCTGGCAGATTTACCCTTTGTTGTACGTCACGGGGTGCTGTATCCAGTGTCTCTGGATCCTATGGACCTCAGTGCTCCATAAGTGTTTCTTAGAAGTCACATAATTCAGGACTGTGTCTGCAGTTCTGTGGCATATTCTTTCAGGTTCTGCAGGCTTCCTTTTTCATGCAACAAAAATTAGTATTTCTTGGGGATATTTAAAGTATTGTGTTTCCTACCGATATTCTGTTATTTTTCAGTTGTATCCAAATTAGACAAAAACCCCTCTTAGCATAGATGCGTCTTATTGTCTTGTCTGGAGTAGAAGCAAATGTTAAGCATATGTTAAATGGTGTTACATCAGGTACCTTTAATTCAGCGCTGTTTAAAACTGTTAGCAAGTAGGACTAATAATTCCCAATGTAATAATTTAAAAAACCGAACAGTCTCTGTCTGAAGAGTTGACAATAACCCACATGCTAAACTGCCTGTCTTCCCCACTTGAACGTCTACAGCATTTAGACGTAATGCTAGAGAGGTTTTGCAGAGTTGGATTCCAGTGACAACTATGTGCTAGTACGGTCAAATAATGGAAATTTATGCTTTTTATTTTAAGGTTGCCCTGAAGGCCGTGTATCCAAAAGTTTCCATTATAGAAGAAAATACTGTGTGTGTTTAACTAACATTTGTTTATGTTACTCTTAAAATATTTTGACATTTCTAGGGATGCCATAAAATCTTCCTCATCTTTTTTTACTCTAAAATTAGAGATGTTGGAGCTCTGTCACAGGTTAACATTACTAAGCATGTTTTAAGTTTCTACAGCTGAGTATATTTCGGATGAATTAGTGATATGTAAAGCAAAGACTTGCAAAGGTTTTTGTGCCTTAATTATTCTAGCATTGCATGAGAAAACATTTTAAAATGTTTCATGAAGACCTCTAGGTCTTAGTTAAAAATACAATTTTCCAGCCCAGAAGTTTACATTTCAAAGAAGCATTGCATTCAGGCAACACTTTAAGAAGGGATGATTTTTCTGTAATAAAATTTCACAAATCTCCACATGCCTCGACAGCATAAATCATCCCTGAAGTAAAAGGTATGTAAAGTAGCAGTTTGTGGCTTATGCTTTGTTTCTGCAGTAAAGCTAGAAGAATTGGAGAGGGTTTTAATTCAAAAACTCTGTAAAATTACCTGCTAGAGGACAGTACTGGTGTATGTACGAGAAAAAGTGCTATGCTGGGCCTTACCTTTTAGTTACAGGATGCTTGTCTGCTCCTAGGTTTCACAACAAAGGAGTTTATGTGAAAGTTGGGCTGCAGAAGATAAGTCATACCAGGAATCTTCATAAAGACATAAAGCTTCAGGTGGACCAGCACGAGGTGGAGTTACCAAGTATAGAAGGACTCATTTTTATTAATATACCCAGGTAAAAGGGAGAGGAAGGATCCTGTGTGGGTGCACGTCTGGCTGTGTGTGTGGAAATGCTGCTTGGTATTTGAGCATGAAATGTCAATTAGATAAAATGTCAAATGGTCTAGATTAATAGATGTTTGTTACTGGGTATTTTTTATTATTGCCTGACTTGCTGGCTTTGCAACTGTGCCTAAGGAGCTAACTCTTAATACCATTTTGACATCGTTTTTTTGATCCTTTGAAACTCACAATCTCACTCCACATAAAGGTCGTACTACCTTGTTTTCCTAGTGCAAACCCCTGTACATTTGCTATTTCTTCTGTGTCCCAATAGCAATTTGGAATGATTTCCTCACCAAAGGTCTTCAGACTTCTTTTGGAGCAGTTTTCTAGTAAAATATGACGGTTTAGGCATGGTTGTAGGCCTGTGGCTTCCACTACCATTTTCCCCCTCCCCCAAACTGTTTGAACGATCCAGCAGATTTCACCGTGACTTACAGAAGGATCAAAGATAATCAACTTGCACACACTTTCTGGCATGCTAGAGACCGCGTGACTAAGCAGTTCCTGCAGTGAAGGCCAGCCAGGATTCAACTGTCAAACACTGTCCAGGTCACATACCTGGCCGGTATATGTGGAGTTGGTGATGCTGCCTGGGTAGCTGTGGAAAACCCACAGTTCAGGTACCTTTCGTGGGGTTGTGGGGGCTGCCCTGACACCTGCAGGGAGCTAGAGTTACTGCTGTGGAAGAAAGGAAGGCAAATCTGCAGGAAATTTGGCTTCTTTAGGTGTGCTGTTGGTAGAGGCAGGTTTTTTGTTTGCACAAAACCAGCAGGTAACTAATGCTGCCATACTATTTTTTTTCAAGTACACTCTTACCTCAAACTACCTGTATCTCTTTCCATTTTAGTCCGAAAATGTTTCAACTTTTTATTCAAATATATATTTATTTACACATACACACTTGTATGTGCACATGCACATACACACAAGTATATGTTGCATGTGAGAACTGTGGAGAAGAAAAGATCACGATTAGTACTGAGCAGTCAATGCACTAAAACAATAAGCAGGTGATTTGAGTAAGGAGGGTCAATACTGCACAAAAAGCAACACGGTGTTAAATTGTCAGAAGCGTTTCAGAGGATTGAAGTGTAGGAATACCTGCTTAACTACAAGTGAGTTTGGCCAAGTACAAGAATAAAAACTTGGTACTTGTTTTAGCTTCAGTTTCTCTTCAGTAGCTCCTGTGAATATTGTCAAGACCAATAAGATCTATGTTAAGTTCTCAAGTCTTGGAAGTTAAGGGTTAGTGTAGCTGTAACCTGTATTTCCCAGCAAACTAAAACTCTTTGGAATTGCTTTCTTCTTACCTACTCTTTTTCTTTCAAATGGAAACTACTTATTTAACTCCTTCTTTCACCCCTAAAAGATATGGTCAGAAGTCTTCCAAATTTTAGGAAAGCACTTCCTGCTTTTACAGTGCAGGAAAGCCGTGTTGTCTCCTCCAGCTGGTGGGGAGCAGAGTATCTAGCTTTTGAAGTCCGGTGAACTAGCCGCCCCTAGCAGGGTACCGGGCAGGGTGCTCTGTGGCAGATGGCAGGTCCGCAGGTGGTCACTGTGGTGTGCTCTCTACGCAGCTGGGGATCTGGAGCCGATCTCTGGGGGTCTGAGAGTGATAACCGCTTTGAGAAACCACGCATCGATGACGGCCTGCTGGAAGTTGTTGGTGTGACTGGCGTCGTTCACATGGTAAGTTGGCATCCCAGTAATAACAGAGGAAACATGCATTTTCTCAGACTGGTTTATTTTTTAACAAACAGTGCATTGCAAGTGCGTAATCCTAAAAAGTATGCATCTATGTTAGGGTTATACCATCGTTTATTCAGGTACTTGTTGCATCATGCAGAAATGGTTATAGACCATAAACAGAATTCATGGGCAGCGTCGGCTGTCTGTGAACAAAGCGTTCAGATGTCGGGAGTTTAGCTGCAGCTGGTATGCCTGTTCATGGACTGCAGCGTCCTCTCATTGCCTGTTTATTGGCCTGCCCTGAACATCCATATTTAGGTGCCAGACTACAACAGATGGATTGGAAACTGAAGAAGCCTGGATAAGTAGTAGTAATAGGAGTGTGAAGAACTCCTAAAAGTGCATGGGGAGATGCTTCATGACTTAAGTAGGCTTTAAAGCAAGGCCAGAAACATACATGTACACATCCATATGAAATGCAAATAAATATATATACACATAGGTATTATGGAATGCACTAGCCTTCTCATAACAGGTATCATGGTGTCAAAACCAAACAGTTCCTGGGATGAAAACAAGATTTTATTTTAATATTACAAAAACACCCACTCTCCACTTAGTGTATTTGCGAAAAATCTTGTTGTATCTCACGACAATCAGGGCAGAGATTCCTTCTAGACAGGTGGCTTTATAATTATCCGCCTCAGGCTTTCCAACACCTGTCTCTGAGAATCTGATGCTTGCTGCTCTTGATCCGAATGCTATGTGAAGCAGATGGTATGCCAGTTCTGCAAAGAATATTATGACTCAATTTGTGCAACTTTAATTCTTCCATGTATTATGTATTTTTACAATGGCCTGCTATTAGCAACACATATGTGTTGGGATCTGTGGGATGGCGGGTTATTTTTGTCTTTTCTTCATATTTTTTTCACTATCTTAAGAAATCTGCTGCTGAAAAATTATATGTGGTCAGGTAACTAGAGACAACTAATCCATACAACCACCAAAAATGGAAAGGTGGGTGCTTAAAATTGTTTGTGCAGTTCGATCTTTGGTGTTGGCCAACTTTACCATTTTGTAATTTAGATCTCTTAAGGAAGACTAATATAAAATATTCCATTAGAAGAAGTGGTTTGGTAGATATCCTTAAAATTTTTGTGACGTTAGAAACAACAAGGTGTATACCCGTTGCTTTGGAATATAAACGTTAACAAACCCGTGCTCTGGTTTTGTGATCTTCTGTTAAGGTTTTTACCCCCATGTTTGGTGTCTGTACACATTTCCCCAAGAGAATGTGTAGCAGCAGAGTTCACTTTTCTTCACTTTTTACAGTTAACACTCGGCTGTTAGTTGTAGTTGAGTATATGTATATGTAGTTGAGTATATGTATGGATATGGATTTGAGTTTGGCAAAACTCTCTCTCCCTGTTTGATAAAGTGCTTTTAGACTTTTGAGTTTCTGTGTGTATAGTTAGGGGTTTTGAAAATGTGTTTACTATGTTATGGAGAGGGGAAGTAAAAGCAAACAAGACCTTTGTGAGTGCATGCTCCTTGGCCAACTTGAGTGTACGAATGACTTCACTGTGTAAGTTATTTTGCCTCCAGCAGCTTGCAGGGGTATCTGAGTTCTTCTTTGTGCACTAACTTAATTAACGCTGCATCAGTAAAGGCATCCTATGCAGATTTTGCCTAAGCAGTCCTTTCACTTGAAACTTAAAATGTCAGGTGAGAATAAAATTCTGTCCACCCCGTTTAAGTGCAGCTATTATTTGTGCTTCTTGTTTACTGGGGTGATTGATAAGCTGGCTTTTACTTCCTAACAGGGTCAAGTCCAAGGTGGTTTTCGATCAGGAATCCGCATAGCCCAAGGCTCGTATTTTCGTGTAACACTCCTAAAGCCAATTCCAGTTCAAGTTGATGGAGAGCCCTGGATTCAGGCCCCTGGCCAGATTATTATTTCTGCTGCAGGACCGAAGGTACTGGCTGTAGGTTTGTCTTAGCAAGTTGACTTTGTTTCTCCAGTGGATATTCTCGTGTTTTCTTGCTTGTCTGTTGTGTTCTGATGCTTAACTTTAAAGGAGCTAGTCGGCACGATGTGGTAACTGTTGGATAAATGCATAGCAGTTTCTACAGAGGATGGTTTGAGGGCCCTCTCCACTAGCTCAGATGAGGCCTGTGTTTAAAAAAAATAGTCCCTGAGCTTCAGCCTAATGACTTAATTTTTTCCCCTGTATTGAGATCTCCAGGCAGTGTTGCTTGCCCTGAAGCAGATCATAGTTATGAGGGCCGTGGTAGTACTGCAGTGTGCGAGGTAGGAAGCAGTCTGCTGGCAGTGCTGAAGTAGGGAAGGTCTGTCAGAGAGCATCAAAGGAGAAGACTGAATAATGGAGGAGGAGGGTCTGAGAAAAAGACACTGGAGTAATCAGTGTCTGGTTTTCCTTGATATCTCAAGTTATATGTAGAAGGAAAAGAGCATCAGCTACCTAAGAATTTAACTTCTCTATTGACACTGAAATTGTGAAATAAACATTTTGCAGTAGTTGACCCTGCACACCAGTCTACACGTTTGCCTGCTACCTTAAGGATGCCTTTTTAACTCACAGAAATTTGTTGCTACAGGCAATCTCGGAGAATACGTAGCCCTACCAGGAGGGCTAACAGAACAATGGCCTTGCAGAGGAAAAATGGGTGAAAAAGAGGGTCATACCTCAAATGTTTTGGAATATGTTAAACTTTGTTCTTTTCCTGAGAGAAAGGGGGGAAAAGAGAAAGAGAGAGAGAACAAACCTAACTTGTCCTTCCAGTGAGAAATATTTCTATCTTTCTATCAGGTTAGTGACTAATAGTGTTATCTTTATATATGTGTATGTATATGTGTGTACATGAATATATATGCACACACATACATATCCTTATATACATATATGTGTATATATGTTTATGTAAAAAAAGCAGTTAATCCTATAGCTTTATAAGGATAGGTGCTTCAGATAGTTGTCTATTTAAATGTTTTTCTGTTGCAGTTCCAACATTTTACTTGTTTATTAGTTAGTTGCCTTAGATCTGCTTATAGGTGACTACAGATATTTTAATACTCACTTTCTTTTAAAACTTTCCATTTTAGGTCCATATGTTGAAAAAGTCCAAGCAGAAACAGAAAAAAACTGGAAGCCTGAGAGAGATGAGAGTGGATAGCATGTCAGTCTCTGAAGGAGGACGCTAAGTGAAGACCTGTGCTCAGAAGTGATGCAGCACACCTACTGTAGATAACCAAGATGGTTCAGTAAAACCAAGTGCAGACAACTAGTGAAGAGGGTTGCTTATGAGCGTGCCTTTCATTACATTTTGATAGTACTGGGTTCTACTTTATCTTTCAAAGATAGTGCCTCATTGTTACGAGTAACTATTATGTGCCACTTGTCTCATCTGAAATGTTTACTTTCGGTTGCTTTTCCATAAGCCATTTGCCAGTTTTTTGTGTATATAGAAACTGAGGCCAAACAGAGATTCCAAGATGCTGAGATTTCTGCATCTACCTTCACAAAGACTCTTCCCCTCCTCCCAGCTTTTTCTTAAAGAAAATCATTCCATATATAAACTTCGGTGCATTGTTCCATAAATGAAAATGTGTTCCTTTAAATCAATGCTCGCAGTAGCCTCCCAACCAAAAAAAGGCAAAGACATGAGCTGCTGAGAACTCCTTGCATCAGTCCAGATAGCACAGCTGAAACAGTACTACCGTAAAGAGAAAAATACAAAACAAAGGAGAGATGATTTCTATAAAAGGAGCCCCCGTGCACTGGGAAGAGAGAAAATACTAGGAACAGTTGAGTCAAAATATTTCAGAGAGTTTACTTCAACAGTATTTGGACAGTATGAATGAAGGGGAAACTGCTTGTAGAGCAAATTTTCAACTGCAGCTTAGTTTCTCCTATATTATTCAGCCAAAGCCCATTTTAAAAGGCATTTGAATTTCAGCAGCTACCACTCTAATGTAAAAAAGGAACAAGAATACCTGAGGCAGTATTACATTATACTGATTTTTTTCTATCCTTGAAACCATTATCTTTGACACCAGACTCTTCTTCTTGTCTTTACTTGTGCTGTTTCATTTTCATTAATTTGTCACAGTTGGACTGTTGTTATTATTATTATTATTATAACAGCAAGCTCAAAGATTAAAAGAATCATCACTAATTAGGGTAAAAGGAATACCATTTAGTATTCAACTTAATTAGCACAGTCATATGTTAGAGCTGAACTGAAGCTGTACAGCATAGCTTCGCTGAGGAGCCTTGGGAGGTGTTGAAGCCTGTAGTGTGCATGTAACATGCTGTAGGCTTCAGATAACTGGGAGTGCAATAGCCATCATGAAAACTCACTTACCTGGTCAGCCTTCTCAAGTCCTTGGTGGCTGGCCTAGGGACACGGTGACCGTCTCTTCTCACTTGGATGAGTGTGTGCTTTTCAGAGGCTGTTCCTCTGTCAGCTCCTGTGAGACCAAGATCACCTCTCTGTGCTTACCCATCTGCTGAAGGTGTGAGGATCCAGTACTACTTTTACAGCTTCCTGCTAGACACTGGCGCTAGAGCAGACATGCTGGTCCTGTCATACGCTACATATATCTGCTGTCCGTGGCCATAGTCGTGTTGGTCTTCACTCACATCTCTGCTGGTCTCATCTCACTGTGGTTCTCCAGTGACTAAACCTTTCACTTCAGGTCAACATCATACACAAGGGGCCCTCTGAGCCAGTTGTGGTGCAGGGGGCCTGCATGGTTTTGCCACTTCTATGTATCTGCTGCTTGGAGCTACTTCAGCCATGTTAGCCAGAGCCCACTTAGCTAGCCAGTGGGCTTACTTGTCCTTTATTGCACGGTAATAACTAATTCAGCTATGGATGGCATGAATTCATCACTCAAGTGGCAGCTTGAGGAGTGTTCCTCTGGCCAGTGTGTCTAGAAAAAGATCTCCAGCTGCTGCAGGGGACTTCACTGTAACTTTGAAATATGCAAAAGCCGTTTTGTGTTGGAGCCAAACTGTGCTGAGGCAGTTCTTGCTGGGTCTTGTTGATCAGTCTGTACTCTTAAGCACTGTGCCAGCTTCAGCAACATCTGATCATTACCTGTGCTTTCTACTTTCCCATCATGTTGCAGATGGGGCTGTGAATGTGGGTGCTGCAAGACAGTCATTTATAGCAACAGAATGATACAGCTAAAGCTATAAACAGAGACAAAACAGCCGTGCAAAAATGGTAGCTGCCTGCAGCCTCTCCTTCCTGTCCAGTGATTCCTTCTGTTCTTAGTGTTCTGGTAGAGATGCATTTGGAGGACTGACTCCTGTTTTCAATGAAGCTTCTTATTAATTGTTTAAATTGTTAATTTAATTTTAGGGATGTTCTTCAGGTGCCACCATGTGGACTACAACTTACCTTTTTATTCAACATGCAAACTGGACTCCTGCTATGAGGGAGATAGCGTGGATAGTACAGAGCTAAAATCCTTGTCTCCTGATCATTAAACACAGGGTTGTCTGCTTCAGAACCTGGGCATGAGGGATCAGCTGGAGCTTTTATGGCATCCTGGTACCAGCATTACAAGTAGGAAGGGTAAAGTGTTGTATTTCAGGGTATGCCCTCTCAGGACAAAGCTCACAAATTAGAGAGGAAATCTGAAATAGATTGCTGCTTATAATTGTCCAGAAAGCCAGAGAAACTGCTTTGTGTCCTCAGGGCAGCAGAAAGAATGCATGGTGGTCTTTCCAATTGCTGACTCAGTAATGGAGAGGAAAACTTGACTTTTTGTTACAGAAAACATGCGTAAGCTTTAAGCTTGCTAGTACTGACCATCTTCTGCAGCCCAAGTAAATAAACCTGTCTTAACTATTTTTCCAGACGTATAATCCTGCAGTGTGCAGCTGACAGCGTTTCATGTTCTTGGCTCGTTAAGGGCCTGGCTGTCTCTCCCTGTTGCTCAGTATCTGTTATCTGAAATAACATTAAACTCTCGGGCCACAGTATTGTAATCGGAGGGCCCCCTACCGTGGCGTATCCTTCCATGGGGATTTTCCATCCCTGGAACACTGTACGAGCCTGTCTTGTGGTCGTGTCATGGTAGCAAGGCAACACAGAAGTATGAATGTGTTTCCTCGCAACTGCCAGAAGGGATCCTGATGGAGGACAGGAAGGCTTTGAGTTTTCTTTTTTCTTTCCCTTTTCTCTTTTTCCAGAAACCGACTCCCACATGTTGCTTGAGCAGATGAGTGCCACACTGGAACAAAAACATATCTTAAGAAAAACACACTTGGCATTTAAGGTCCCTGTGCATCATAAAATGATTCTTAGTGCGTTTTGAAGACAAAAGAGATTCTTGGGTAACTGAGACAGGAAAGCTCTTGTAAAGCTTTTAAAAGGAGAAACTCGCTATTTAACCTCTCTATTGAGATGTTCCAGTTTCAGGTACTGTAAAGGCCGGTATATCAAGAATATATATATTCTTTTTTTTTTTTTTTTACATTTTCGTCACACAGTATCTGAGAAGGCCTAGTGTTTTCTTCCATACTATGTAAGACTTCCTTGAAAAGAGGAGATAACTCTTTGCAGTTAATACGAAACATTTTGACTTAGCCTTTACATTGAACAAAACAATGCGATATAATTTACATGGTAGTGGGCAGATAAATGATTCTTGGCACCGAGTCTTCGAGTAACATTGTGTGAGAACCTAGTGGTCACATGGCCAAGTGCTTTAAATAATGCAATAACAAAAGTGTTGGGGAAGAGGCTCTGTTCTGTCAAGACACGTGTTAAATCAACATCAGGCACACAGGACCAGGAACCGTCATCTATAGGCAGGGAGGAGGTGCAGGCTCCTTGCTATCCTGAGCACACTCCTTCATCCTCTCTCCACTGCCCTGCCTTTTTACCTTGCCTATAAACCATGGCAGGCACAGATAGCACAGCTAGCATCTCTACTGCTGAGACACACGCTCCTGACCTTTTACTGGTGTCCTACTAGGCTTTGCCAGCATGGGGCAGAGAAGGGTCCTGAAAATCACAGTGCATTTCAAATACCCCACTATTGCAGATGAGAGAAGGTGGGCAGTTGATTAAAATCTGTTTCGATGGGTAAACACATCACCTCTGTCTTGAATTAGGAGAACCGAAATTCAAAAGCTTATCCCCGAGATACAGGTGCTACTTCAGAAAATTTGCTGCTTTTTCCCCATGGCTTTTACACTCGATTTATATAGTTTAAACTGCTGATGTTTTCATTGCGTTGATTTTTAAATGAAACTGTTATTTTGCCAAAAACTTTTTATTTATATGTGTGTATATGTGTGTACATATATATGTATACATAGATATGGACACACCCTTTAAAAATAGGCCTTATTGTATTTCCTTTCACAGTGCCTGCTTGTACAGCTGTTTGCTGTGTTACAGCATTCTGATAGCACTCACTTCTGGATCTTTCTCTCACCAGTTTTGGACAGGAGGCAGAGCTTGCTTTCTTACTGGTCCCACTGAAGTTCCCAGCACATACTTCTAATGGACATGTGCTTTCCAGCAAGACATAATGGCAATATGGTGAAAGCACAGCTGTGTTTAGAGTACAGTCTCTGCACATGTAGAGTTTGAGCTCCTCTTGCTCTTTCTAGATTTTAATCAAGTCTGTGTGTGTCTAAAATCTGGCAATGGCTATTGTAGCATTTTAAAAACGAAGAAGCTGTAGCATAGTCCACTGCAAGACTTAAATAAGGAACAACACTAAATGAACTGTTATAGACAATTGTTCATTAATCTTCACAGTTACCCTCTTACAAGTGTTGTACAGATTGCATTTCTTTAAAGAGCAAGTAATGTACTTGTTTCGAATATCAGTTGCTTGGAATCGCTAAGCATTTACGCATGCATGTTAGTCTGCAGCAGTCTGTTGGCATATAAATGTGTCATTATCAAATGAAGCCACATTTTGTGGGAGGAGAAGGTAAGAGGAGCTGTTGTGACACTTAAAAGGGACTTACGTTGAAGACACAACAGATGTAGCTGCATAGGTATTTCATGACGTACTGACTGTGTGAGCAGGTATGCCCTGTGTTGCATAGCTGCCGGTCCATACTCCAGAACTGAAACCAAGGGTGCGTTGGAGTTGCGCACTTGAGAGACCTGGCGGTAGATTATTCTTTCAGTCTGCACCTCATACCTCTTCCTTACGACCTCCATAGCAACTGTGCATTTTCCTCTTCTGCTAGGCTGTCTTCCTGACCTTTGGGCCCAGCCTTTATGCTGAAACTGGCAACAAAGGCACGAGTATGTGGTGGTGAACGTGTGTGGAGAGCGGGGGAATGGAGATCCTGCTCTAAAACACGGCTCTGGCTAGTGGGCTTAGACTGTTCATCAGTTTCTACTTCAGCTTCTACTCCAGCCATTTAATAGCTGTGCAGCAAAGACTCGGCAACTACTGAACTGCCTTGGATTCACGGTGACAGCGTTGCCTCATTTTCAGGCTTTGATGCACGAGTGCATGTATCACTTCATACACTTTTTGCACTTAACAGAAAATAAAGGTTAGATAGGCTTAGGGTGTGGCAAAATTGCAATGTTTGTACTTTTTTGTAAATATGGGGATGATTCTACAGATACAAAGATGCACTT